CTTTTCTCTTCTCTAATCTTCCCCCCTCCCCCTCTCCCTCCCCCCTCCGGATGACCATTTGTGTTTGTTTTACATTTTCGTTTGGAATGCATGCTTATGACGAAACTCATTAGGCCTTGCCTGAGGCCAATTTTCAGGAAATGCTTCCACACCGCGTACTACTTCCTCGACTATCCGCCCCGTAACGTGCCCACGCTTCAGGAATGGGAGAACACCGAGCAGGATGGGGAACGTACCGCGGTCGCCATTCAGAAGTTCGTGCAGCACGTCGCGAGCCTGCACGCGGACGGTGACATCGGGTTCAGCAAGGAGTACGAGTTCATTCAATCGGAGAGCGGCAAGTTCACCGCGGAGAATTCCCAATACGTCGAGAACAAAGCGAAAAATCGATACTTGAATATATTGGCCTGTGAGTAGCGCAATACAGTACGTACGTATGTGTACTCGATTATCCCGACTCGGCGAGGAGGGAGCCTTTTCTATTTCCATAAAAACACGCGTCTGGAAAAACACGCGTTGTTTCGACAGGTCTTCGCGCAACTTCTGTTTTTCTTTCTCCGGGCCACCGACGTCGACCGGTTCTATTTTTAACCAGATTTCCCTTTCATCCACGCGGCGGTTGTTCAATTTTATTCCATCCAACAGAGCCGTGGAGACCCGCGTTATCTCTCGCGCAACAAGCGATGCAAGTATGCATTATAGCTCCGTTTAATCGATTAACTCGCAGCATTGGCACGCTTCCGTTTCTTCAAGGTTTCCTCTTGCCCTGTATACGTCTACTTATACGCACGTTCTTTCGTTTGCTCGTCACCGAGCAAGTACGTAAGTCGGCGAAGGTTTCACGCACCGAGTCGAGACAGAGACGAAAAAGCCGCGCGCGCACAATGCGACAATTGTAATCGCGCGTATCGGAAGTCCGTAATGGTCGCTCGGCCTCGCGTGAAACTGGCCTCCAATAGAGCTGAAATCGCGCTCGAGCTCGCTTTCTACTTCGAACGACGCGACTTTCGTTCGATTCCTGATAACTCTCGTCTAGGTTCTCGTGCGGTTCATGTCTCATCGTCTCGTCGAGACCAGATCGAAGCAACGTCACGCTTCCTTCGTTCAATGATCAGTGAATTCATCGCTTTATCCTTGTCGGCCGATGCAAAGCACGACATTATTCGATCGCGTCCTTATTCTCGCGCGAAGGAAAAACGAGAAGGGCGTCTATTAAAGTATTTCAACGAAATTATGTCTCGTACGCTTGTAATCAATCCAAGCCAAGCAGCGTTCTTTCATCCCGCGATAAGGTCTCCTAGTCTATCTGGAAAAGTCAAGAATGAAAATCACTCGCGATTTTACACCGATAACGTATCGGCTTTCGCCGTGATAAGCGGAACGCTTGTTGGCCGCGAGTTCAATTATCGAGCCGAAATACGCGATGCCGCGAGCCTCGACCATCGTTCGCGCTGTTGTCCGATTAACGGAGCTGCTCTCGTTCGTTTTTAATGTGAGTGACCGGCAGCATTTCGACAACGAGGTCACAGATGTTTCGCGGCACTGCTCGTTAATGCCTATCAACAGTGGTAGGTGAGAGACAGAGAAAGAAAGAGAGAAAGAGAGAGAGAGAGAGAGAGAGACGAACGACATTGATTCACGGTTTTCAAAATTAGGAGAGAAACAAAATTACAGTTTGAAACGTTCAATCAGCAGCCGAAGCTGTTTATCCGACGGTAAAGTATAGAGAAGAAAAAAAAAAAACTCGGTGTTCGCAGACGATCATACTCGAGTGCAGTTGCTGTCGTGCGGCGGAGGACCACCGAAAAAGGGGCACGATTACGTGAACGCGAATTACATCGATGGTTGGCAACGTACACGCGCGTACATTGGTACGCAGGGTCCGTTGCCACCGACTTTCGATGGATTCTGGCGTATGGTGTGGGAACAGAGAGTATCGATCGTTGTTATGATCACCAATCTCGTTGAACGTGGCCGCGTAAGTACATACTCTCAATGCTGTTTCGAACGATCTGAAACAGCTTTTCAATCCTGTTTGCAATAACATTTCTGACTTTTTCGTTCTCACAGAAAAAATGTGATATGTACTGGCCTAAGAAGGGATCGGAAACCTACGGCTACATTCAGGTCACTCTGTTGAGGGAAGATGTCATGGCTACGTACACCATTCGTACGCTTCAGATTCGCCATATGAAGGTTGGTATATTTATGAGAGGATTGACCTCGCCGACGAGTGACTCTCTCCGAGACTCGAATGTAAATGGACGTCCGCAGGTGAAGAAAAGGAAGAACGGAGTCAACATGGGAGAACGTATCATTTGGCAGTACCATTACACTGGATGGCCTGATCACGGAGTACCGGAGCATCCGTTGCCGGTTCTGAGCTTCATCCGGAAATCTTCCAATGCCAATCCTCCGGACGCAGGACCAATTGTTGTCCACTGCAGGTAGAAACAACAAGCAAACGCCCTTCGAACGTTCGAAGCATACGACAAAGTATCCAAGTAGTCGAGAGTTACCAATTTAATTAAAAAAAAATATAAATATAAATGTGAAATAATTATAATTTATAAATATGAAATTTTAAATGTAAATTATATTATATATAATTAATATTATATATAATTGTAAATATAAATTTAAAATTGTCTCGCCTCCAGCGCTGGCGTCGGGCGTACAGGCACCTACATTGTCATCGACGCCATGCTGAAACAGGCCAAGTGCAAGAACGAGGTGAACGTGTTCGGATTCCTGAAGCACATCCGCACGCAGCGAAACTTCTTGGTTCAAACGGAGGAACAGTACGTGTTCATCCATCATGCTCTGCAAGAGGCTATCGAGAGCGGCGAGACCAACATCGAGGCAAACAACCTGTTAGAATACGTCCAAGACATGTTGAATCCGAACAACACCAACACCGACGCATGGAACAATCTCGAAGCTCAGTACAAGGTACCATTTGCGGGACGGAGGTGCAAATAGCGTACTCCAAATTCCCCCTCTTTGTCGACGTTTTGATCTTTAAAATTACTTTCAGCTGGTGACCTCGTGGAAGCCGAAGGAGTTCAACCTCGTGTCCGCGATCAAGCCGTGCAATCTTCACAAGAACCGCAACCAAGATGTCATTTCGATCGAAACAGCTCGCGTTCATTTGACGCCGAAGCCCGGGATCGACGGGAGCGACTACATCAACGCTACGTGGATCGCTGGTAGGCATCGGAATCGATTAATTAATCGCGATCGAATTCGACGTGACTTTGAACGCGAAGCAAACCCAATGGCCCAATTTCCAGGCTTCCATCGCAATCGTGAGTTTATCATCAGCCAACATCCGATGGAAAATACGATCATGGAGTTCTGGCAGATGATGTGGGATTACAATGCACAAACCGTGGTCATGCTCACCGAATGCGACGAGGTGGTGGGAATTCTTTTTCATCGTAATTGAAACAAAGAAAAAAAAAAAAAAAAAGAGAGAAGGTAATAAATAACGTTTGATTAATTCGCAGGAGTATCCCGAATTTTGGCCTACCGAAGGGAAAGACCTAGAGTCGGAGACCTTTCGCGTGCGATCTTGCGGAATCAAGGAAACCGCGAGCGGAATGATTCTGCGCGAAGTCGCGGTCCGATCTCTGCAAGACGATTACGAATTGAGTGCCAAAATTGTCCAAGGGCCGCGATCTCAGCCCGGCTTCTGGCCACACAACACCAATCCGCGACCCCTCGTGACCTTAATCCACGATTTACATCGGGATTACCAAAACGGTCCTATCGTCGTGATGGACAGGTAATTTTCGACAAGTTTTGTTACTTACTACTTACGTAACACGTGTCGCGAGTTTTAACAAATACGCAGAAACAATATCGACATGTTATTGGTAACAGGTTCGGCGGCGTCGAGGCGGCAATCTTCATCCTGCTGACAACGTTGAACAAGCAGATGGAGTTCGAGAAGAGCGCCGACATCTACATGTACGCGAAGTTGTTGTACATGAAACGACCAGGAGTCTTCCGAACAAAGGTATTTGATTTTGCAGTCTGCTGTACGCGCAAATTTTATGAAATATTCCCCTTTGGGGAAACTGTTCGCGATGGTTACGCATTGCAGGAGGATTACGCGCTGTTGTATCAATGCCTGGAAACCACGCTGTCGTCGAAAACTCACGACGAGCCGGATCTATACTCGATGGCCAACGGCCACGTGTCCACGATAACGGATCCGACTGACGTGCCTACCTCGTCGATGCAGCACATGCAGATGGATTACTCTCCGAAGCCAACGATGATCCGTGAATACGCGACGGTGGAGGTGAACTCTATGTCTGACTATTCAATCCCGATTCGTGTGGACCATTCGATGGAGCCTTGCAGTAGCAGAAGCAGCGAGAGCTGCATGTTCAGCCACGCGGGGAACGAGCACGAGAAGAACATCGTCATGACCCATCGGAACGTGAGCTATCACAATCATCCGGGCAGTGTCTCTGTGATCGTTGACGCGAACGGTTACGTGACGAACGGCAGCATGCGCATGAGACCAGAGGGCATGGAGTCGACCTGCAAGATGTTGCCTCAATGATGCCTGCCGATCTTCGGTTGCAGTGTTTCCTCGAGCCGATCTGAGCCGCTGTAACCGATCGAGCTCCGCACTGCCCGAAGTGTAATCCTGATTCTGTAAGTGGACATACATTTTGTGTTCGATCGATCCGAAAATATACCGATCCTCGAATATCAACGTACGAGAACTGAACTGTCTTTACGTAGATTAAGATCGCGTGAGAGATTAGCTGCGTAAACTCGAGGAACACGCGCGTACATCGTTCGATGGCCGAGTACAGATTAAAGTACAGATTCTTTTCTCTGGTTTTTTACGCACGCAGGCCACAGCGCAAGGAGTTCCAGATTGGGCACGTCTTCGCACAAACGGAAGAACCGGCGAATTCGCTTAGTTAGGATCCGCCTAAACAGAGGATCCTTAAGCATCTCTAAATGTAAATAATTAATCGCGTTAGTTCGCCCGCGTGTACGCGTACGCTCTCGAGGACGTCGAATGACGAGGACACACGCGTACACGCGGTGTAGAGGAAACAAAACAAAACAAAAAGAAAAAAAAGAAAAAAAAAGGAGAAAGGGAAATGAGGGTCCCGTTTCCGGTGTTGCTGGGTGCCAAAAACCACTTGTTAGAGCACACCACCCTGGACCTCCGTTTAAACGTTGTTCATCGTGTAAGTGTACACCTCTCGTTTTTTGTGTAATATATATATAAATATATATATATACATTCATGGACGTTCATTCGCGCGCATCGTGCACACTTACATAACTTCACTCACACGCGTGTACATACGCATCTCGCCTACCATCGCACGCGTATACACGCGCATATGCTTTTCACATATGTACGTGTAATACTTTTGTAATAAGTTGGATCATTCGACCACTTCTTTTACCAAAGAATCGTTTATATTCGCTCTCGTTTCGTTTTAAATCCCCCCTTTTCTCAAGGTTTTATCGCTTAGCCGAAGACTGATCAATCGAATTCGCACTGTCGTGCACGCCTCGCGATCTACGAATAGATCGTGCCTGCCTATCGTGTCTTGACTCACAATCAAAAAAAAAAAAAAAAAAAAAAAAAGAGCGCGAGATCAATCGAGCTCGATGCGTTTCGCTTACGAGGAGCTTCTTTCAACGCTCTTCCACCCCTCTGTCTCTTTTCGCCAAACAGTCGAACATGCAATGTCACAAGGAATTGACGATCCAAACGTTGTTCGTAAACGCGTCGTCCAACTTTCTCGAGGTTGATGGCAGAAAACAATTGTACCGAGATACGAGAACTATGCGAAACGGAATGCGATTGGAATCGTGCAGACTTGACGATCGATCGCGATTGGTGAGAATGGTAACGAACTGGTGTCGAATCGCAACGCGATCTTCGTCAACTAAACGCAGTTAACGCGACAGCAAATGTGAAACCTGTTTGTACGAACGCGTCATGTCTCTGCACGTGAGAGAAAAAGAGAGAGAGAGAGAGTGAGAGAGAGAGAATGCGAACAAATGTGGTCTGTCTGTCAACCTCTCGACGTAACTAATCATTGTCGTAACGCATTTCTAACGAGTAAGATTTGAATTAAGTAAAAAAAAAAAAAAATAAGAAAAAAAGGAAAAAAAAGAAAAAAAAATGTGGAAAATGTCCCACGTGGACGTTTTCTTCGTCGCGACGTTTTCGTTGTCCCGCGTGATTTTGTCCGGCGCTGGTCGGTAGAGCATCGAGACGCGACAGAAAAATAAAGAACAAGCTACAGCGACGACAATTTGAAGCGTTCGATAATTAACGAGATTAATTTCCAATCGCAGTGTCAGGGCCGACCTTGATCGCCGTGTGTATCGAAGTCGATCGAGCCCGCTTTTAGAGTAACGTTGTTCAGATTCGTGCGACCAGTGAGATTGTTTTTGTTTTTTTTTTTTTGTTTTTTTTTTAATTGTGATACAAAGAAGAAGAGAAAAAAGAAAAAAAAAAAGGATAAAAAATTGGACGCTGTCGTTGATGTTTATTCCAGCCACGAGTTCCTTTGCCACGCGATCGTTTTTCTAATTGAATCTAATCCGGAAGACTGTTCTCTCACACACGTAGAATTTTTACATACACCTGTAACGTAACTGCTAAGTCAGCATAATTCACGTGATACGGAAACGATAACTGCCTGTGACACTTTTGATCCATCTTCTATACGTGTTTTTCTACCATCTTGTATACATAATTATACACAATCGTGACTAATCGTTGACGAATCGGGTCCGATCGTCCTTCGTTTTTAACCTCTAATGCCGATTAACGATCGACGACGTGGAAATTTGACAAAAAAGAAAAAAAACTAAAAAAGGCGTAAAAGCAAAAAAAAAAAAAAAAAAAATCTCAAAAAAAAAAAGAAAGAATCTATATATGTATATGTGCATGTATGTAACCGTGTCCGTGTTAATAAGACGTAATGTAAAACGTAATCCACTGACTGAACGACTTTTTAAACTCGGTTGTCGGTTTTTATAACTGGATGTCGATGTAGTCTATCACTTAAAACGTAAAACCGTGCTTCTTCCTTCGGGCCGGATCGACGCGACGATGGAACGAGACCAACCAACGTCATTTTACAAAGCTTTAAAACCATTGCCATTGTTTTTAACATTCGACGACGCTCGCTTTTATTCGGAAATCGGTGCGAATATCCGAACGATTCGTTAAGGGAACCCGAAGGAAGATTAGAAAACATAAGGCTTAGATATAGTTTACGTGTCGGGAAGATAGGAGGTAAATACTGCGACGAAGTTTCGCAAGACAGACAGTTGGGAAGGGCAAATAGCGGGGGGGAAGAGCTGCATTACTTGCTAACTTTCAGACACGTCAGCAAAGCTAAGAAACATAATAACGAGGGAAAAGAGAGAGAGATGTAGAGACGCGTGTCAAATCGGTACGGCAAAGGCGACATTCGATTTTCCCGATCTTTGGCTTTCTTCTTGCCCTCTGTTCCCGCTTTCGTTAGCCAGATCGTACGATCGTAAGGCATACGTTCGCGTTTCCTCATCGACACGATCTCGCGCGCGTCGTTTCGACAGACGATGGAACATTGGTCGACGATTCAGTAACTAAGCGAGCGTAACCGCTTGGAGCCGAAAGGCTTCTGACGCGAATCAGAGAAACCGAGCCGACGTCCAGCGTCGAGCACAGCGGTTCATGGGGTAACGAGCAACGACCATTCGATTTCCTCTCGTTGATAAATCGCGACGAGATCTCGACGGTGATTCTACGATATGTTATAAAAATCGAACGACACGCTTCGTAGAGGGGGAAACGAATGGTAGTTGAATGTTGTATATGACCCGGTAAGCTCGTAGATGACGCGCCAAGCTCGAGCTGGACAAGAATAAAAGCAACACGATGCCTCGTCATTCCCCTGAGCGTAAGATGGGATGGCATCGCGAAAGTAGATAATTCCTCTGGACCGATTGAGCCAGCGAATCCCTCCCCACGACGAGAAAGAGCGAAAGAGCTAAAGTCTGTACCATATGCAATGTATTAATGTAATATCGATTCCGCTGTAATTAGGGATAATTAGAACGCGAGGATATACATACGTACTTGTTGGCCCGTGCAAAGACGTGTCTGGACGCCAACTGGATGCATCAAAACTACACATTTAAGAAAGAAAAAGAAAACAAAAAAAAAAAAAAGAGAAGAAGAAGAAGAATCCACGCACCACACGAGGCAACTGGATACACAATACGCGTAACACCGATTAGTAAAAGTCTCATCGTAGTCACATAGGCTCTTTTTAACATAAGAACCACCGAACTGACTGTTAATTTGATCAAACGCAAAACTGGATCACGCAACAAAAGAAAAAAAAAAAGAAAACAAATAAGTCGTATACATAAAGAAAAAGAGAAAAATATAAATATATATATATATAAATATAAATATATATATATAAATATATAAATATAAAATACAAATATAAATATATATATATATATATTATATTCAAATATTTATGATATGAGGGAAAATTACACAGTGTAACGTCGCGTTTCGTGTCGCTGCACGAGATACCGTGACCAAGCATGCACGCGCGCGCGGCCAAGTTGGAATTTATTCTAATTTTCGCGAGTGTTTTCTCTCGAGAATCGAGCCGTGTGATAGTTCAATCGACGCCGAACATGGTGGAAAAAGAAAATCGTTTCCTCGCTTGCATGATGCCACGGTAGCTCGGCGAACGAGGGCGTCGGATACGAAAACCTGTACTGTATTTTACGTTAAGCACCGTAAACTCTGAGTGTACCTATACGGATACAGAAGAACGATATATAAAAAAGTGAGGAAAGAAGTGAGATAAAAGTATGCATGTAATGAGTATGCGTGAGAGAGTAAGTAGATATACGCAACGAGGGATGCGTGTGGACCGGTCGATCCCCGGAAATTCAAGGGGTCGATCGTCGCATCGTTTATACATATATAAATATTATACATAATTAATTCGGAGGATAAACGAGATAGGTGTGTATAGAAGGATAATTTAGACTCTAGTCAGCATAACACAATCGTAATCGACGACGCACACGTTTTCCTTGTTCATTTCGTTTCCGTTCTTACGTTCGTCACGGGAGAACGCGGTTATTCACATCGTTTCCCCATCGTTGTTTCTCTGTACTCGATGCGTTCGGGTTTTTCTCCACGCGAAGGGAAGACCAGTTACGTAACGAACGCGTGGCTGCGTTTACGGCTGTTCGTTTGCTCGGAGGGGGTGCGTTGGCGCGGGTGCGGGTTGAAAGAGTGCGACACGAGTCGCTTCTGTTCTCCACGTTCATTTCTCCTTCACTCTGTCGTTACTTTTGTTCCTTTTCTTTTTATTTTCCTTCCTTCTTCTTTTTCTCCTTCTGTGTAATTATCTTGCTCCACGTTGTCGGCACTAATTGAAATTAATTCTCCCTATTATAGTAATAAACGTAACCTGAAGCTTCTTTTTGCTTTTTTTTTTTTTTTTTCTTTTCTGGAACGTTGTTACACACGAGCTTCCGTTGAACGTCTTTTCAAAATATCGTGGTGAAGTTTTCTCGAACGACGCGATGAACGGACTGCAGACGCAGCCATCGAAAGTCCGATAGAAGATAAGTGTTCGATATAATGTAAAGGAGCGTGAAACACGCGTATCGAAGGCCTACACGAACCTCGTGGTGTCGTTTGGAATATCCGCGGAACGGTTCGCGCGCGATCGAGACGTCGAAATCGCGAGTGCGGCGCGAACCGCTCGTCGGTGAACATGGTTAACGAGAGTAAAGAAAAGTCGAACGCTTGATCGTACAGTCGACCAAAAAAAAAAGTCATTAGAGAATTTAGCGAGAAACAGAAAATCATCATCGGTGAAATTATATCGATTCTAGCGTATAGAGGTAAAAACATTTCGGGTCGAACACGATGTCACATTATTATACGAATTAGTGAATCCGCGCGCGGGGAACGTAAAACAATGTCACGCCACCGTAAGACTGCAAACACAACAAACAAACGAATTAAAGGAACAAACCAACAAACAAACAAACAAAAAAAAAAAGAAAAAAAACGAAAAAAAAAATGAGAGAAAATCGCGACCGACGAAAACGGTGTTTTTTACGATTATTGTACTATATTACGATTATTGATACGTTTCCTTTTTCGGCGTTAGTTTCCGCAGCATCGAGTCAATCGACGCGCGACATTTAAATGCAAGTATTCGCACAGGCCTACGATAAGAGAAACTCTTTATATACGTATCCATGATGTTTCACGTGTAACACTAAATAAACAAGCATTAATTGTCATTCAGCTGATCGACGATCGGACGATATGCGTAGCGCTCTAGAAAGAAGAGAAAGAAAACGAATGGGATGATACCGTACCGAGAAGCTTTTGCCTCCAATCGAAATGGCGGAACGACTTTTCACTCGCGTTTTACACTTGCAATTGGGCCTAATCGACGGATCCTGCTACCATTTCTGACTACCTTTCGTTCCTCGAACCCTTGGAAATTTTGGATGGCACGCTACTTCCGCTGGCACGGCGATATCGTAATGGAACTGTACGAAAGAAAGGGGGAAAAAAAAAAAAGAAAAAGAAAATGCTACGGGAAACATTAAAAAGATGAATTCATACGAACGTTAATATTTTTTTTTCTCATCGTGGATTCCAACACCGAACGAACGTTGCAAATGATTATTTTCCGCGATGGTAGCTCGTTGGCGAACGTCGTCCGCGCGTATACATTTTTATAATTAAATAAGACGATTTTTACCCCTAATTAATGGTAATTCGCTGAACGGGGAACGACATCGAAGGGAATTTCTCTCCGCGTTCGCCGACAAGCGTCACGTTAAATAACGCCCGAGAAATCTGGTTGCAGTTGCATTACGATTAGCATGCAATGTTTCGATTCAACATAGTACAAAAATTCGCAAAAGTTTGGAAGAACTGGAAGAACAAGATATGTATAAATCGGAGAACAACCGACAACTTGTACGTGATCGTGATAGTCGTTGGTTCACTCTGAACGATCGTTACGACGTTTCGGTTGTTCTCGGCCGCAGCTACCCTAAATAAAAAAGCGCGAAAACGAACAAAAAAAGAAAAAAAAAAAAAGAGAAAGAAATAATGCACAGTGGAAAACAAAAACAAAAGATTACACGTATGTCCTTTCACTGTAACAGTATCTTGACCAATTAAATACTAAGCTAGCATGGATGTATACACACTGAGATAAATGTTAACCAGTTACCTGCGTAATACTCAATGTTAAGTGTCGGAACTGATGCTCGTTCAGATTTTTCTTGACGACTGTCCTTGCTCGTGCGAACTCACGGTTTTCTTTCTTCCATTTGCGCAAAACGAAATATTGCCAACGACTGTCTGCCAATCGTTTACGCGAACTTCTTAAACAAAAAACGAGGGAAAGAAAAGAGGATGAAACAAACGGAGCAAAACGAGAGAGAGAGAGAGAGAGAGAGAGAGAAAACAAGACGAAGAAATCGTTAAGAGACATTCCAAGCCGCTTTTTTTAGACGATCAACGAAATAAAACATTATTTGACTGCCATGTACGATATTTTACGACGATTTTATAGACGAGAAAACGGGGTGGACCATCGAACGATCGAGGTTCCACTTCGCGTTCGATATACAATCTAAGTACCACGATTCGAATGGAGAGTAGTTTCCGTTTTTTCTAAATGCGAATTTTCTTGTGATCTGTCCTGGTTGAAAAAGGAGGAAAACGAAACAAAAA